ACTTGATGCTGCCTATAAATATGACCAAAAAAAACCATCGAATTCATCCAATCTTTTCACTCCCATTCAGGCACCCCCAACCAAAAAAAAAAAAAGAAAAAAAAGAAGAGGGAAATTAAGTAGAAAGGAAATCAAGCATGAAGTGTCTCAAGTTCTTCGCCATCGTTATGCTCATTCTTTCCTTTGCTGCTGGTAAACTATCTCTTGTTAATCTTTTCTTTTCTGAAACCTAAATAATTTGAACATTCTCCTTGGTGTAAACTACCATAGGCATCCTTGTTATTCTAGCATTCCCTAGCTTTTTTTTTTTTTTTTGGGCCCTTGGTGTCTTTGAAAAATTTCTCAAGGTTTTAATAAATAATTATATATTTTAAGAAAACAAAATTAAATGTATTATTGGGTACATTGCCCTCGACTTGAGCTTCAGGGAAAAAATATATGCTGGTGCATCCAAATATGCATGAAGCATAAGGAAATTGCAAAGGTAAATGAGTCAGCATGTGAGTGAATTTTTTTGAATTTTTTAATAATTTTAATAGTAAATTAACAGCAACCCATTAAAGGTACTAATGAAAGTTGACAAAAGGATTATAAATGATTAGTCTTCTAACAGAGGTAAATTTTATTTGTCGAAAAAAAAGGGAGAAATTTTGGATATTAATTCTTTACCTATTTTTTAATTGTTTCAAGATTTATTAAGGATTTTACCTATTTTTTAATAAGTAAAGGTGTAAATAAAAATATCAACTTTGTACTTTTTTTATTTAAAAATGTTAATTTTATCAGTTTTTAAATAAAAATGTCAACTTTTAACTTTTTTTTTTATTTAAAGATATCAACTTTCAACTTTTTCTATTTAAGGATTAATTTGGTGTTGATGTTAACGTGACTAATATATTTTTTTAGGTTAAATACCTAAATTGATCCCTCAACTTTTATTTTTGAACCAATTCATCCTTGAACTTCAGAGAGTACCAAAAACGTCCTTCAACTTCAATTTTCAGTACTAATTTCATCTTTCCGTCAGTTAAATGCTAATGTAGCTAATTTTTCCGCTAAGTGATTGACTATTTTACATGTTCAATATTAGGTAGAAAATCCATCATGTAAAAGATGATTATGTGGATTTTTTAAATTTTAAATAATTTAAAAACTACTTTAATTCTTAATTTTACTTTATTTATATTTAAAAATTAAAACAATTAATATATTTTCTCATTTAATTTGTCTTACCTACCATAAGTAACTCTTAATTTATAAAAAAATAAATTAACTCTCATTTAATTTTATTAAATCAAATCTCACCTACTATAATTATTTTTTAATTCATGAAAAAATTAATTAACTTTTATTTAATTTTATTAAATGAAATTTAATCATGAAAGAATCAATTAGGAAACTAGTCATTTATAATCCTAGAATAATTAAGAAATAGATAAAAAATTCCGAAACGATTTCTTGCCATATTATATACGACTTTTCTTTCTTTCTTTTTCTTTCTTGAGATGTCTTGATGCTAGCTATAAATATATATGACAAAAAAAGATTCTAATTCATCCAACATTCACTCCCATTCAAACCATAAAAAAAAAAAA